TCACCTCCTCGAAGAAATTTTTCAACATTGGTTCATGTCTTGAATGGATCAATTATTTGTGAATGCCTTAGTCAAAATTGGGAATTGAATTGACAGTTCTCAATCATACGGAACAGGGCATAAAAGTTATGGGCCAATCTGGCCAACAATCCATTCACCTAGTATCAATAGATGGCGCTCGTCATAGTACACATTTTGCACTCTTCTAACCTGAATTTGTAAACAGAGACCTTATTTTTCTTCGTCTTTGTCGAAAATTCAAAAGAATTGTATTTCCCTTTTAATGCCCACTTAATGCCCATAATGAGAACGCCTGAACTTTCCCGTTTCCCCAATATCTCAGATGATGACACACTAGCATCTCTAGTTTGGTTGCACCATTGTAGTTCCCTCTACCAACCAATTGTCCCCATGGCAAGCAAAATGGCTCGGTACACAACAAGCTGCTGGTGCATTGTATCCTCAGTTTCCCCAATGTGTCTACGATTGTATGTGTGTTACACACACACCCACACACACACACACCCAGTCTCATCTAAGTGTGCAGTTGTGTGCGAAACATATTTCTGCCATAGATTCGCAGATAGGAAATCTAGTGTTGACCAAAACCAAAACAAAATATGGTCTACATATGTACAGACGACATACGTTCATACATATGTATGTGTGACCGTATGCATGTACGTATACGTATGTGATGCAACATTGGTTGCTCTTGTTGTTGTTGTTGTTCTTTGGCGGCGGAGGCGTTGCTGGAAAGAAGCTTAAGAGTAATAAATATTTTGTTAACCATAAAAACCAAATTGTTTTGTTTAGCCATAGAATAATTCAAATACATCCAAATGTTTGCACATTCATGTGGTTGCAAGTGTGTGTTTGTGTGAGTGTGTCTGTGTCCGTGCACGCAAGAATGTTCACTTCGTTTATTTTTTATTAACAAAAATTCAACAAGATCTAAATTTAATCCCCAACAAACTGTGTGCTTTTTTGGGGGTTATTTTATGGGCTTTTTCAATTTGCGACCAAAGGACGATAGACGACCGCTTCTTGTCCTCGGCTCGGGCTGGGGCAATGTTTCAAATTCTTGTTCATCCAGCTGTTCAATTTCGGGAGAGCTATTGACTATGTTCGAGCCAATGTCTGGTTGAGAGTCCTCCCTGGGTGGCCCGTATGTATCCTGTGGCTGTTCGGGTGGTCCATAGACATCTTGTGGCTGCTGGGGTGGCAGGTAGGTGGAGGGCACAAATGACTGTTGTTCGGTAGTTACATCAACTTCCACAAGGGGCAGCGGTGTTGTTGTTTCTTCTAAATTAACTTGGGTGGTGGTCTCAATTTCTGTGGGTAGCTCAAAGGGAATATCCGGTTTGAAACCAGCCGCTGGATAGGGTGCCTTCTCCAATCTCAACAGCCTCCTATTGTTTGTGACTCTCGATGATTTTCTCAAACTCAAAGCCTCTGCGGAAAGTATTAGGGCAATTGCCATTAAAATTCCAAGACAATTCTGGGACACCATAGCTTTGGTTTCTCCTTCGTAGCCAAGTCTTTGCTCTGTAACAACTTATTTGGTAATAATGACTTAATTAAATCGAGTAGCTTCTTTTATATTCAAAATTTAATTTTCGTTTTTGGTTTAGGCCCTGGCTATGGCAAAACTAAAAATTCTATATTTTAATTGGGATTTCGAGTTGAAATGAGTTTGGCTTGGTTTTGTTGGGAAAATTATGTTATGTGCTCCTCCCCCTCCTCCTCGGCAGTGGCTAGTTGTGTCATTAAGTTGTACATATTAATGATGTTTTGAACTCGTCAGCCCATTCGAAATATGAATTCGAACGTGCCCAAGTGTTTGTGAATGAGCCGGGACCGAGTCAAGATGGCCTTTAAAACATTAAATGGTTGGTGATTTCATAGAATGGAGAATAGAAAAATAAACTACACCGAATATCCATCATAATCCATGTCCATGTATGACTGCCATTATTTTGGGGGTGTCCAGACGATAGAAATTTCGATTTTGTTTTTGTTTTGGCGGACAGACACGTTTCATAAATTGACACTTTTTGATGGCCCGGCGAATGGGTTGTTTTGCTATTTTTCCATTCTTAATGCTGTTAATTGTTGTTATTATTTGAGTTTTTTGTTTTTTTTTTTTGTTCAATGTTAATGTCGACAAAAACATTAAATTTGTATATCAGTCTGTCATATTAAAATGCGCGTGTTTTGAATTATTGAAAATCCCAACAAGGATGAGCGAAAGAAATTGCCAAAATTCTTTCTTCTCTGAACTGCATAACAGAATATTCGGCTAAGGTCATGGTGTCTTTTTTTTTTTAAATATTTACTATTCCGTTTGCAAAGAAAACATAAAAATATTCTATAAATAATATTTGAAAACGAAATGTGTAATAAAAAACTTAATTCAAATTAGCAAAACTAACTGCCATGCAAAACGCTGAAGAAATATTCAGTTCATGTTTGAAATGTCCATTAAAAAGGGGGTAATAAAAATGGTTTAGGTGCTGCTGTCTTTGTTAAACTTTAAGTTCAATGTTCAGCGTTGCATTTTTGAATTCACATTTGAATTTACTACGGTATGAGTAAAGGTGAGAATACATAAGGGGCTTTTTTAAGGCATAAGTTATTAGGTGGCGTTTTGATAAAAGAATAAAGAAATATAGTTTGACTTAGTTCAATTTCAGGCCATAATTCGAACTTTGTCTCCCAAAAGGGTGAAACATTTCAAAACATAAATCGTGAGCTCGGCGTGAAAAAACAGCACTTTTGCCACTTTTTGCTGACAGCAGTGTAGTATTTTCACACCAAAGTCACGATTTTAGCTTTGATCTGTTTCGACCTTAAATTAGTTTATTTGTTATATTTACCGAACCAGCCTATGACTTAAGCTTGGAAAAAAATCCCCTATATATATCTCCACCTTAAAATTCTGTCTACCTTACTTATGAAATAATACTTGAAAGATAATGACCAGTTTCAAAGCCCAAACCAAAAAAGAAGATTAACAGCACCTCAAAAAAAAAAAAAAAAATCAAGGACTGTCGTTGGACAATTTCAGGGATTACATTTTGGAGAGAGCCGACGATTTTTCTTGAAGCAGATCGGGTTTTTGTTGTTTGGATACCGATCGCAATGATTTTATCATTTAAAAATGGACAGACTTAATCCAAGTGTTGTCTTTTCGCTTACGCTTTACCCCATTTCTAGCTAAGCTTCAAACCAAAAATCCCATTACCAAGTAATGATATTTTCATCTAGTTTTTTCAATAGTAGCAACTTTCAAATTGACCTATGAACCCATTTTTTGCAAGGGTAAATCAACCGAAATAGGTACTTCTTATTTTTAAGGAATGACCCATGTCTTTGAATGTATTGGTAATGCAGAAGAGAGTTTGTTTACATTACCTTGTAATGGGTTATTTGGCTTATATATGTTTCATAGCTTGTTGATCTGAAAGCTCTAATTCACAACTTTGGATCTTGCAGTTCAGTTTCTCAGAGACATGTTCATGTTTCGATAAAATGGAAATATGTCTCAGACTTTAGAACCGGAGCCAGGTACAACCCGCATACTTGACGATCTCTTATCATTTGAAGCAAATGAAATCTCAACTTAAGGAGCTCCCTGTTAAGCTCTATTGTTTTGGTCCATTCCCGGCGAAGCGCTTGCTTGAGGTGATCGACACCTTGGTATTTTTTAGTGCCAACCTTGCTTTCCAAAATACTCCAGACACAATAGTCCAACGGATTTGTATCCGGAGATTATGGGGGCCATAGTGCGCTGGAAATAAAGCGAGGAACCTCATTTTGTAAACATTCTTGGGTGGTACGTGCAGAGTGCGATGGTGCTGAGTCCTGTTGGAATGTCCAAGGTCTGCGGCCAAAATGTTTGCATGTCCAAGGCTTTAGTACACCCTCCAGAATATTTTCGCAATAATATTCGACATTTATTCTGATGCCACGGTCGATTAATATAAGCTGAGAGCGACCATCGGCACACTATCACCATGGTCGGCGCTTGAGTTCTGGTGGCCAACTGAAGGTGCATATTTTCAGGTGCCCTGTTTGGCAAATAAACACGATAATTTTGTTTGTTTACAAACTTCTGAACAACGAATGTTTTCTCATCGGAGAAAATCAAATTCGGCAGTTCACCACTTTCGGCCAAGCAACTTTTTAGCTTTTTTGAGTCTATTTTCTTTCTGTTGCGGTGTAAGTTCTTGCACTTTTTGGAATTTCAATGGCTTTACCCCGAGCTCATTTTTCAATATTTGCCGAATGGAATATTGCCACATGCTCATGAGTCATATTTCTCCCACTGTGACGCGGGTTTCGATCATGTCGCTTCTTTAGTTTTCGACAAGGTAATTTACAGAAAATTCAGAGAGGAATTCTTATTTGAAATGAATTTACCTTCTTGATTTTACCATGGTCCGAGTAAAAAGTTTATGCGATTTTAAAAGACATCCTTGGAAAGATGAAAATATGGATATTTTCTTGTTTTTTTCCAACTTGGCACCAATGCATATAAAAACACTTCCGAGCTGCCTCATAAAATATCAACAATTTCTTAAATTGTACATTTACTTGGGAGAGTTGACCGGGCCTCTATAACCACCTTTCCTAATTCGTTAGTTCTTAGGAGTCTATCTTGTTTATTTCTATATTTCTTTGACATCTGGAGTTGGCATAAAATATAAGTTCAACTCAGTTTTGGCAATGTCTCTTGAGGCAACTTTTGACTTTGCGATTTTTAGCAATGGAAAAAGTCAATGAATCAAAAGTCGACCTAAATATCCCTATATCCTACAGCAAAAGAAGAAAATATCTAAATTCTTTTGATTACAAACAAGATAATATAAACTCCCCCACATTTCAGGAAGAACTTTTTCAAATATATTCCATTGCGTCTTAAAAAGTCCGCAAATTGACTAAAATACAATTTCTCATCACAAATTCTTCTTCTTCCTCCTCCTCTTTAGCTTTACTGCCATCTTTCGGAATGACGTCTTAAGTTTTGATGAAACATATTCCGATCAGCAGCAAGAATTGTATCTATTTTTCCTCCTTCGCCTGTTTACTCCACCAAAATGCAAAACAACGCTGTTTTATTTTTAAATTTATATTCAGATGTGGTTTATTTTAATTATTTTTAATTATAGATGAATAAAAAACGAACTTTAACAAAACAAAATACACACACGCACACACTCTCATTAACAAACTTAAAAAACTTAACCGAGATGAATTTTAACTAAATTACTGCATAGTCTCTCTCTATCCGCCTATCTGTATGTAGTTGGTAGTTGATATTTGGTATTTGGTTTTTTTTGGGAATAAGCTAACTCTGGCATGGGTCTGTGTGAGTTCCATACATACCCACCCACAACCACATGGACCAGAGGGATTTTGGTTCTACAATTTCATTGAGGTAAACCTGTGGTTTACAACACTTTTCCTTTAATGCAAAGTGTAAACGAGAACCGGTTCTGAACGGATGATTTCTACAATGCTTGCCCGGGGAGCAATGGGTAATTTGCGGGCACGCAACTTGGCTGGACGGGAACGGCTGCGCACCAGCTTTTGTCTTGGTTGGATGATGTTTTGGGCGACCAATTCCGAATCGGCAGCGGGTTGAACTTCTTCGGCGGCTGGTTCTTCGATGGCAGGTTCAGTATCAGTGGTGGCGGGTTCTGGTGGGCCATAGGTTTGATCGGGTTCGGTGGCTTCTGGAGGGCCATAGGTTTCATCGGGAGTGGCTGCTGCCTCTTCTTCGGTTTCTGGTGGGCCATAGGTTTGATCGGGTTCAGTAATGGCGGGTTGATCGGCTTCTGGTGGGCCATAGGTCTCATCAGGTGTGGGCTCTGGTGGGCCATAGGTTTCATCGGGGGTTACTTCAGGTGGTCCATAGGTAGGATCGGGCTGGGCGAAAGGTTGTTCAGTTTCTGTGGGCAATTCGAAGGGAATTTCAGGCGTTACACCAGCCGGGGGATAGGGGGCGGGTGAAGGAGCCACCTGTTGACGTGCTGACTTGCGCACCACCTTTTGTGCCCGCAAAGCTCCCGACCGCTTCGCTTGTCTAAAGTGAGCCGGCTCAGCTGCCACCAAAGCCAGTGAGACACCAATAATTGCAATAATTGTAAAGAACTTGGCCATCTTTGTTTTGTTGCTTTTTTTGCTCCTGCGGCTGTTGCTGTGGCTGCTACTGCTTGTTGTGTTCTTGATTGTTGTAAGTGGTGGTATGATGATGAGTTGGTGATGGGCCATGGTTTTTATAGTTCCACCGCATGATTACTTTGACATTAGGTTAGTCATGGCGAGTCCGCAAGCATTTTTGCCGCCAATTTCCAATGTCAAATGAATTTCGGTTCGGTGCTGCTATGGCAAGCCAAGCCATGCCATGCCGAGTCAAACCCCATACCCTATTTGGATGCCACTTAAAATGAGCAGAAATTATTATTATTGTTGTGTTTACCTTTGAATTCAATTTCTTATGGGCTTTACGTGACCATACGTTTTGGTGCTGGAAGTAGCATGATCACCCGCTACCACCCACCCCTTGTCACCACTGCCATATGACAATCGACCATAACTGCCATTATCAAGGGCTGTTTGAATTGCCGATCACCGACTACCATTTTTCGTTTGCATCGCTTAATGATAAAATCTGCAAAAAATCCAGAACATTCTAGTGATCTATTGACCCAAAAACAAGACAAATTTCTCATCCGATTTTGCCAGCGGTCCTTAACCCTGAACTTGTGACAGCAATCCAACACCCACTCTTATCATTTTAATGCGATTTATTTTCGACGTGTTTTCAAGTTCACGATCGCGGCGCTTGTTTGCCAAGTTGTGACTTGGCTTTGTCGGACTACCCAGTATGGGGAGGGCAATAAACGTCATTTCCACCTGCTGCGGCGTACTATTATTGATTGACTGCGATTCGGCGGCTACTTGGTATTCACCCGGCGCAGACATTGAAACCAAAGTGTCGCACTACATAATTTAATAGCATAATTAATTTTCGTAGCATTATGAACGAAGAATGTTCGGTCGGTATTAGCCGGTCGGTCGTCAGCAGTTCCAATAACCATTTTCATATTAAACAGAACACAAGAGAACGAATAGAACAAAAACAAACTTCCCCAAATCAATAACGCATGAATTTCCAATTCGCCCAGGGGGCCGTATAAAAGTGTCTGACGTCGGCCGAATCGACATCATTGTACGATTTGAAGCAACTTAGGAAGTTACTAGCGAGTTCTACAAACCCAACACAATGGCAAACTTGTTGAAAATCTCCCTTCTCCTTTTGGCTGTGGCCATTGTGGCCTGCAGTGCCGAGGCACCCAAGTCGAAGTTGCGCCAGGTAAGAAGGTTCCAGCAGCAAAAGCAGAAGCAACCCTTGCGTTTGGCACCCAAGCGTAAATTCGCCCGTCAAGAAGAGCCTGTTACACCATACCCCACCGCCGAGGAATTGAAACCGGAAGTGGCTTTCGAAGAAGGCAACGTACCCGATGAAGTCTACGGCCCACCCGATGAGGTCTATGGCCCACCAGAAGCTGATGTCTCCTCGCCCGATGTATTGCCCTCCGAAGATGCTCCCGTTGAGTTTGCTCCCAATCCCGATGCCGAAGAATTCCAACCATCCGAACTCGAAGCTGAACGCCTGACCAGCCGCAAGAAGGCCAACAAGAAGATAGTTCCCTCACGCCTGACCCAAAAGAAGAAGAAGTCCCAGAAATCTCAACGTTTGGTTGCCGCTGCCCCAGCTCCCGTTGTTGCTGCTGCCGCTCCTGCTGTGCCAGTGTCCGCTGTGCCCTTCACTGCTGCCTTCCCCGCTTCGGCCCACCAATACTTTGTTGTCAACCAACCCTTCAGCTATTCGGCCCAGTATCAAATTTGGTAAAGACCTCAAGGAAATAAAACAACGAAATCGCTCCACCGACCGAATACCCTCCCCTCTCCTGGGGCGGGGTACTGATTAGTAGAATTTGTTAAGTTTGTCCATGATGTTGTAGTTTCTGTAATTGTAGTTAATGTGGAATAGTCATCCTTTGGCTGTGACTGCGAATGCGAGGTAAAGCGAATGATGGAAATAGAAAACTTGTTAATAAATCTTTAGAGAAAACGAATTAAATACGAATTCCTTGTGTGTGTATGTGTGTGTTTGGTCATTTATATTTATTACACCATCATCAGCAACAGTATCATCATCGTCATCAGTATCATCATCATCATCATCGGCATCATTGCCATGGAAGTTGGCTAAAACTATTACTTGGAGGCCAAGGATTGTTGCCACATCTGTGTCACGGAGACATTCATTCAATTTGTCTGTCTTTGCGGCATTTATCCCATCCCATAGTCCTGGCAACTGTCTTTGAAGGAGAGCCTCAGAGTTGAGGTGTTATCCTGCATTTTATATCCTTTTCGGTCTTCCTGCTTCCAGTTTTTCCTCGTTGCATATTTAATATCAGGGATTTATTTTTTATTTGCCACTGCCACATCAATTCTTAGTTGGACGAAGTGGAGTGGAGTGGCTGGTCGGTCGGTCGTTTGATTGAAGGCGATAAGTTGCCAGTTTCTATCCAGGTAACACACAGACTTCCCAGCCCTCCTGGTGTCCAGTTAAAATTCATGTGAAACATCAGCATTTACGAGAATTTGGTTTTTATTGCCTGCCATCCGTCCAATGACAATAATCACTTGGCCAGGTTAATGTTGTTGTTGTTGTTTTTGTCTGTGCCAGGAATATGACTTCGAGTCGAGGTTCGCAGTCAGGTGTTAGCTGGTGTGGACGTGTTGGACTACGATCATTTTGTGTAATTGCTTAGAAACAATGCCAAGCGTTTTCAAAGGGAGGGGATAAATACAAAAAAGGAGTTGTTGAAGTTTTGAAAGCAAATTTGCATAGGTTTAATAAATTGGATGAAAATGAAAATCGGATTGGAAAATATCCTTAAATTGCATCTATTGCCAATATTTAGGTAACCTGAATAAATATTTCCTTTGAATATCCAAAGAATGGTAGAACTGGATATCAGGTATTAAAAGTTTTTAAAAATTTGGATAACGTGGATAAAGGCTTCCCATTATTGTTGAAATTCGGGTACTGTACTTGCAGCGAGGCATGCAGAAATGCATTTCACAACAAATTTGGGATTCTGAAAAATTTGTAAAATGTACAAAATGAGAGAGAAAAGTAGCCATTTGGAGGATTCCTGGTCCCATTTTGATGGCAAAATAAAAGTGGTACAAAAACAATATCTCCGAAAAGCAATTCCGCCCATAGCAAGAGAGCAAAGACTAAACTCGGTACATAACTCTAAATCTTCGAGCAATCCTTCTAGGGAGAAAGTTTTACTCCTGAGAGAAAGCGAAAAAATCTGTGATCTGGTATAAACAGCGTTAAAACCGCCTTGGACATTAAACGTAAGTGTAACTTTAAAAAGTAGCATTCCACTGCCATGGGTTTAAGGCTGCCAACAAATTCTCTGCTTTCCAAATTATGTATCTTATGAAAAACGTTTTAGTTTTTATTTTCAATAACCCTTTCTTCATTTTCTGCCTCATGTGGCGCCCAAGGAATTCAATTGAATCCAACGCTTCCACTTGTATCCTTTGGCTGACGAATGGCAAAGCCACAATATTTCCGCCAACAATTCTTTAATATTTACCCATGCGGGATGGAACTAATGAAGCCTTGCGAAACAGTTCCGACCACACAACTTTTGGTTGTTAACATCCGTTGCTGATTCGAATGCGATTATCCGGGGAAATGGCATTGCAGCAGACGACCAACAAGTTTTCTCTCTCTCTATCTCTCTCTTTCTCTCTTCGTCGTCGTTGTGTGTCTGTCCAACATGGTTATTCATTTATTTGTCTCCAAGTCTGTCCTAGCCTGCCATGTAGAGTTGGATACTTATGCTGACGTTGTGCTGTGACTGTCTGTCTGACTGATAGCCTCTTCATATATTGCTACTTGTCACCTGGTTGGTTTGGTGCGATTTAGTTTCAATTTTCTAGCAATGCTTGGAAGTTTCTCCAGCCATGAGCTGCGGATGCTGTTGACTACGAGCTAGATAACGGTTAATGGTAATGTTAAGCCTACAAATTCATTGCCAAGTACCAAGAATGGGGGGATTCCTTACTACTTGCTTCCTTATTTTATATTTATTTCCATATGTATGTTTGTGTGTGAACTTATTTTAGAACATTTTCCCCTCTAACCTCCACGACGGCATGCTGATGTCATTGCTATTTGGAGAATCTTGAGCGTCTTCCTTTTGCTGGAATTTCGAGATGCAACCAGACACCCATTCATATTCTCATTCGAGGGTATCCATCACTGCATCGCAGCAATTATTGTTGACAATCGTGGTTATGCATCCGGACATTCTTGTGAGTAATTTGTAGCAATGGTCGTGTTTGCTGTGGTAGAACTGTCGAAAGTTTGAAGAAGTTGTTGCTGTTGTCGTTGTTGGCGTCAATGAATTCTGTTGTGAATCGTATCACAACGGCAAATGATTTACGATTTTTCGTAGAATATTTTAATTGTAAAAATATTAATTTTAAGAAAAAACAGACATACATGCACACATACATATAAAAAATATACATATGTTTAAAGAATGTGAAATAATGCCAAACAATTGCGTCATTTTGAAGATAGCTTTGGGATTTCCCATTCGTACGTGGGAAAATTGCGTGGAAGTCAAAAAAGTAGGCGTGTATGCTGATTTGTCTGTTCGGACTTGTGATCTTCTGATTCGTAACTGTACATACTCCTGTTTTCATTATACCCTCAGCCATATGGCTAGAGGGGGTATATATCATTTGATACGGTCAAAATGTGCCTCATCGATATAACGGTGACCAAAGAGGTCAACTGAAAATGGGCACCTTCGGTTGGCCACCAGAACTCAAGCGCCGTCCATGGTGATGGTGTGGGCCGCCATAACAGCCGATTGTCGCTCACCGCTCTTATTATTCGTCCGTGGCATCAGAATAAATGCCGAACATTATGACGAAAATATTCTGGCGGGTGTATTAAAGCCTTGGGCACGCAAAGATTTTGGCCCCAGTCCTTGGTCCAACAGGACTCAGCACCATCGCGCTCAGCACACGACACCCAAGAATGGTTACAAAATGAGGTTCCTCGCTTCATTTCAAGGGGACAATGACGACCAAAATCTCCGGATACCAATCCGTATTTTGGAAAGCAAGGTTGGCACTAAAAAATACCAAAGTGTCGACCACCTCAAGCAAGCTCTTCGCCGGGAATGGGCTAAAATACCGCAGAGCAACATTCGGGCAGCGTGTGACGGTATCATAGACCGTTTGAAGGCCATAATTTGTGCCAAAGCTGACCAATTCATACAAATCTAAACTTATTCTAAAATTTGATGCTATGTCCGGCATTTTTTGCTTTTATTCAATAAAATTTCTTAAAAAAATTGTAAATATTATGGCGTTTGACTTTGTTGCAGTTTTTTTATCTTACCCTGTATCTCATATAAAGTATAGCAAGTTATTGATATTGTCCAAATCTGGAACGTTGTAACATTTATAGGTCAGATACGAATTGGTCAATATTGGCCAACTGCTTCGAAATCTCCCCCATAAAGGGTCAACAGTTTGAATAATAATAACCCAAGGCTGGGGGGTATACATCTGTCGGAAAAACCGACTGATACCATTTTACTTGTTTCAATAAATTTTCATTAAACGTTGGAGATTCGAACACTCCCCCTCCCCCCATATAATTGTACATAAGGTCCTATATGAAAATTTCCTTCAACATTTTTGAATGGTTTCAAGGTATAGGACAGGAAAAAATGCTTTTCACTGAAGTATAGCTTTTGTTGGGAAGACTCCAAAATTTTTCTAAAATAAATATTTTTACACCTAAAGGTAAGTTGATGTTTTTTTTTAGATTTAGATTATATTTTTCAAGATGACTTAGCATTGTTCTTGTTATTTTGTCACACAGTTTGTACAAATTATATAATAACCCGAATTCCCCACGAAACAGGTTTTTGGCATTGTTTCGAATTATGCGTCACTTACATATGTATATACTTATGCATGCATCCACTATATATGTAAACGTATGAATAACAAATGAAGATATTTCTGAGACACATTGTAATCTGTAACACATACATACATACATACATATATACATTTCAATTAAAATCGCCCCCTGTCGCAACGCCTGCATTTGGTCCGGCAACCAGTATTTATAGACGACAAATGGATTGGCGATACACTTTTTTGTACTTGTTATTATTTTTGTTGATGTCGTTGTTGTTGTCTTTGTTGTATTTATTGATGGTCCATGTTAAGAGATAACACCGCACTTTTTGTTGGGAGGAGAGATAAGAGACGTCTGGTAAATCTCATTACTGAGATTTTTAATAAGTGTTTTTTGGTTTGCTGGTTTTACTCTGCTGAATTTCTTCTTCTTCGTTTTTTGTTGGCTACCTCTCTGACTCCCCACATGGAGGGGGGAGGTGGGTTTTTTTATTTTCTAAATAAAATGTCTATTATGGCTTTTGTTTCAAATAAATACAATGTATATTTTCTGGTCTTGTGTTTTATACAAAAAAAAAAAAAATAAGTGTCTTATACTAAGTGTTTATTGTTCATTTGTAAAATGATTAAATATTTTATATGAATAATTGTTTATATTAATGCTTATTGTAGAGGAAAAAAACTTAATCTCTAAAATTGCATTCAACCCAAAAATGATCCCCTCGAAGAGAAGGAGCCACCAACATTTGACACCGTGCCGTTACGTTGGGCTTCAATGGCTTGGTAGTTGACAAACCAGAAAGGCTGTTGATCTGGGGGCAGTTTGCTGAGTTTATCGATCAAGGCTTGGTCGCCATGGGCATCCAGGGGGTGAACTGGTCTTGTGGTACTGGTTGAGGCACCTGCACTGGCTGTGGCTCCCGTCGATATGACATTGGAGCCGGGATCACCAAAACGATCAACAAAATTGACACCACTGTCGTTTGTGTTGGGAACTGAGGGGGGATTAGCGGGAGCCTGGATTGGTACATATGGTGTTATTGGGGTCACCACAAGGCCCACTGGAGGTCTCTGAGGCTGGCCATAGGGTATGGTATTGCTGATGGGTTCAGGTGAATCACCAAAACGATTGGAAATTTCGGGAGTTGCTGACACAGAATTGGTGTTGTATTTATCCTTTTGATTCAGGCCATTTGGGGGGCGACTGCCGGCAAAGGGAGGCCTTTGGGCCATGGTCATTTGCATTGCAAATACACTTAATGCCACTGTCAACACAAATCTGTCATTAATTGCCAACATTTTCTTTTGTTTGTTGCCTTGTTCTTTACACAAATGTTTTCCGTTGATTTCAGTACCGCTCTCTGGGTCGCCAAACAAAACAAACTTGTTTTGCAAAATCGATTCGAATGGGATTTTCTCGTCAAGCGTTTAACTTTTATGTGTGTACTTTGATGCCACTTTCACGTATGGAACTACGATGAGTTTTCTAAAGTGATGCTTTTAAATACGGAATACTGGCTTCGATCTCAAATTGAACTCGCGCTCGCTCTCTGGCTCTTTGCAGCGCGACAGATCTCTGCTCAATGACAGATATACGCTTGGCTTACTAACCAGACCTGCGACGGGAGATCATGGACTTATGAGCAATCCGCCTGACCCTTGTTTGGCATTATTTTGTAGTCTCTCTTTTTGGGTTTTTTGTTGTTGAACCAAAAAATAACAGCAACAACAACATAATGACACACACAATCATTACCAACAAAATCAAGTCTTTAACGCATACTTACAGAGCCGCTCACATGTCGCCTTTCACAATGACAAACGGATTAAATACATTATTGAATCGAAACAAAAAGTTTTTGCTTTACTAGATTATTTTCGAGTTTTATTGTTTCGATCTGAAAAGAAACTTATTGTGTAGATAATCGTTTTAAAGCCAAAAATTAGTTTTTAACAAAAGCATTTAGACAAGTGTCAAAAATTTCACATTTTATTATTTTAAAATAAAATATGAATTTTTATTTAAATTCCAGGAAAACGACTGCGATTTGGATTTATTTCTGAGATGTCAATTTTGCAGACTAATTGTTTCAACGCTATGTCTTAGACCTTCAAAATAATCGAAAATGTTTTGATATGTTCGGCAAAATTTTATTAAAAGTCTTAGAATATGCCAAAAACTCGAATGAGTACGTTTTTCAACTTTTCCAGTAGCATTTACTCAGTTAGCTCTTTTGGCATAGTATTATTCTCTTTCATACGAAAATGAAAAGAGGTAAATAGACATCATTAGGGCTGCTCAGGAATAGGAGACCGTTCAGCCGCAATTGCCTTGAATTGCAAAACAATTCACTCACATATTCTCATGAATATTCTCCTTTTTCTCATAGACCCTGCTGTGCACCTGCCGAAATCGTAATAATTAATGAATAGCAAAACGATCTTCCATTCTGCTATTGAGTTAATTATGAATTAAATTAATTATTATTAACTAATTATTAAATTAAGTTAATTATCATTAGGTTAATTATTATCAACTACCCTATATTTCCATTTTTATCACTTCTAGATGTTTTAAAATTCAAATAATATTCATAGGTTTAGGTGCATTTGCACTCCACAAGATGACAAGCAACTTCGAAGCGGCAACACTCTCTTTCTCAGGCCATTAATTTCCTCTCTCATACTCTCATTATCGCAAAGTTTAAACTCTTGATCCTTGATTTATGAATGAAAAATCATAAAAATATGATTTATTTCAATTCGGAAGTTTCTATAATTTCCCATAATTTAATATATTTAATATTTAAATATTTCAAAACATGTCCGTTAATATGAGAAAATAACAAATTGCCAAGCCTCCGCGTCACTTTCTTTGTTCGGTCAAGGCGACGTGTGAAAAATAACACTCAGGAAATCTGTAAATTAAAATTAATTTATTTGTTATTCAATTAATAACAATTTCCATAACTTCCCACTGTTATAATAATGCATTATTAAGATAAATTAATTTTGAATTTGTGAAACAAAAAACGATTGCCTTTAAACGCCAAATAAATTGCCATAAACTCGTTTCATTGCCAATTTGAGTTGTTCTACTTCTCAATTGAATACAGCCGTTATGGATTCTGATGAATTTTACAGACAGACCGACAAATATAATTGGACCCTCTCATAACGGCCACAAGAAACCATGAGAAGATGCTGCCTACCACCAATTCGATGGTGTTTTATTTTTATCCATTGGCTGCTTCTTCTTCTTTTTCTTTCCGTTCATCCATCCATCTCCATAATATGGATTCTCCTTCACGCGCGCTCTTCGCTTTAGTCAAGTAAACAACTCATTCATACGTCTTGAATAAAGCCGGTGACTTGTTTGGGTTTTCTTGTGGTTTTGGGTTATTCCCAGCCAAACAAAAACCACAAAACAACAACAGCATTCACGAGAGTTTCGGCTAAGAGCAGCAACAAAATACGTCTTTGTAAAGGCCACGAATTAGCCAAATTACGAGAAATGCCACCCAAGGAAGGGGCGGTGGTGCGGTTGGCTGGCTGCCTTTTTTTGCAAAATCCAGAAGCGTGCTTCATGAGAATTCTGAAGATCACCTCCCCTACATTTTAGGCAAATGTCATAATGACGATAATAATGACAATACCAGCAACAACACCCATAATGATGATGACAACAACGAAGATGACGACGACGACGACGTCGCTGAGGGTGATTAATATTTTGATATTCCCAATGTGACGTAGTAGTCATGAAAACCAAAGTTTATAATTTGAATATTAAATGTTTAAGAGATTTTTTGGGGGGTTCTCTTCTTCGGGTATTCTCTTTTCCTTATTGATATTTTGGTATGATATATGATATGATTGATGCAAATATTTGGATTTGCAAAGTTGGAGCAAAATCGGATTTTTCTTCCTCTTTCTGTGCAGCAAAACCTTTTTTTGAAAATGTTGACCTTTTGGTGGGGGAGATACTAGAAAGAGTGAACCGATTTTGATCATCTCCGAAATCGATCTAAGTTTGATAATAATATTACGATGTACCATGTTTGGACCAAATCGGATACTCCTTTCGAGAGTTATCGCCAGTCAGACATACAGAGGGACGGACGGACGGATATTACGATGAGGCACGTTTTCGCCGTATCAAATGATATTTACCCTCTCTAGCCATATGGCTGAGGGTATATAAAATGTCTATATATTTGTAATTGCACTGCGTAGCACAAAAAAAAAGTACTTCTCCTTCGATCATTGGTTAATTTTTGCACTTTACGTACCTTATCTTGCCACCGTCGTGGTTAACTTGGAGATGCTTAAATCACCTCTCTCTCTCTCTCTCTCTCTCTCTGAATACTACACACAAACAATTCTGCACCAAATATGTACCAAACTTCCCTTTTTGAGTTGATATCGTCGCATACTCTTAAACCATCCCCAAATCGTGTTATTTACTTTGTAGCCAGCCCTCCCCATTTTGCCCAAATACAAAATTACTTCTTTTTTAATCTGCCGAGTACAATTTCACAGTAACTAAAGGGTAGTCATTAAATCCATTGACTCAATTGTCAATGCCTGGTGGTGGTGGTGGTATTTTGGAATTTCTTATCAATATTTGCCAGTTCAGTGAACTAAATATCCCGCAGTTGGATAATGGTTACGCTCGATTCACACCCAATGCTTGGTGCATCCACATGATGCCCACACAAACCCATCACACTTCGAGCAACTCACATATGAAGTGGCTACAGATGGAATGGAAACTCAATACAATCGAAGAGTAATAAACACACGCCCCTCACTGCCACCAACAGCGTCCGCCCTCAGAGGCTGATTATTACCTCTGCGAACTACAATGGAACTTGAAAGTTAACAGCCAGACAATTGAATTGCTTTCCCAACCATAACCCAGCGATGCAGCTAAATCCCCTACTGAACAGGGAGGGGGATGTAGAGCAAGGTAAATCAGGCTCTTATCCTTGAGGATAATGTCTCATGAAATGGTTATTCGGTGAAGATGTGCAGTGGGTGGGTTTAAATGAAATTCCTTTAGCTGCATTGACATTCGATTGAAAGGTATTTCTCCACCACTTCTCTCTCTGCCTCTCCCTCCCTCCCTCCCTTACTCTTCATTCCCTTTGCTTTTCTGCCATCAAATTGAAATTCCTTTCAATTTCTTTCAGAACCAATGAACGTTGCTGCCAACGTTGGCTGGCATTTGCTGGCATAATAAACCATTGTCGGAAGTGTATTAGTGCAATGTGCCGGCGGATCAAAACGCATTCAAGACTACTTTACAAAGCTCATTTTATTTTTCTAAGATCCTACTTTTCTTCAGAAATTCGTTTAAATTATGTTCAGTTTAAAATTAGATTAGTTCTTTTGTTGTTAGTTGTTCTGTTTTCTTGGGGGGAAACGATTTCGTAAGGCGTTTTTTTTACAGCAGCAGCAATGTCAGTGTTTTGTGTGTGTGTGTGCGGGGGGTTTCTCGGGGGGTTGGTGGGGGAAATTCTTCTAGACTTCTCGGGGTGAAGCAGAGAATTTCGAACACGGCCACCAGCTCTTCTTAGGCAGTGTGTTTCTTGGCGGCACGCAACTTAGCCAATTTAGCTTGACGATAGGCGGCTTGACGGCGGGCCTGGACCAAACGAGCTTGACGTTGTCTCTGGCGGGCCAAGACAACTTCGGCGGGCAAAGCGTTGGCATCGAGTTCAGGGGGACCGTATACCTCATCGGGGGTGTTGTACAAGACAGAGACCTCGGGGGGACCATAGACTTCATCGGGAACGGGTTCGCTGGCTTCGGGGGCAACTTCAGCCTCCTCAACGGGGAAATCGGTGGGAGCAACTTCTTCGAAGGGTACCTCGGGTTTCAATTCATCGGCCGTGGGATAGGGAGTCACGGGTTCCTCGACTTCTTGGCGAGCCAATTTACGATTGCGCTGGATGAGGCGAACTGGACGACCACGTTGTCTTTGAGCTTCACAGCCAAGAACGGCGAAAGCCACCAGGAGCATGACAATAGCGAATTGGAACTTGGCCATTTTCTTTTTCGTTTGGTTGACGTTTGCTGGCAAAGAGCTGGGTTAGTGTTGAGAGTAAAGCAGGTTCTTTAGCTTTGGCTAAGCCGGGGACGACTGATACCATTTCGCCGAAGCGGCTCATCATTTATACCGCATGGATGGGCGATAGCTGCACCACGTCTAGATCCTTATTTGTCTAGATCGCACATTAATTACCGTGATTGGTCAGCATGCATGAGCAAAAAATAGTTGGCTGGCTGGTGGTTGGTTGGTTCGGTTGGCTCATTACTGCTGCTGGTGCTGACAATCAAAGTTATGCTGATTTTATGGGCTAACGTGACCAAAATGCTCCACTCACTTTCAATTCGGCGGCTATAGAATGGAATGCAAAAATTCATCAGCAACAACGCCATTAAGTCGACACCATATATCTAGCTGCCAGCCATCATTTTGCATTTTTATTTACAC